GCAAAACGACACCAAGCGTCTCGCGGCACACAATTATGGCGCCGATTCGCTGTCCCAGATTAAGTCAAGACAAACCTCCGCACGCCATGTTGTACGAGTCTCAGCATTTATTTTCTGAAGCTACTGTTACTGCTGTGTGCCTTGGTATACACTCGGACGCGAAATCTTGCAAGGGTGTTTCCACCTCACGTTAACCGTAGTCTCCAGAGAAGATTTAATGCAAAAATATCTTAAATGTAATTTGTCCTGACAGAATTACGATTACCAGCTTCTTGTTAATCGTTGATGATCGTATAAATGTACATTGAACCGGTGCATTTCGCAAAGAAATTTATGTGCACTTACGTACACTCTGCCATCATCTCAGCGCTGTAATGAGAAGAGATACTAACGTCGTAAAGAGACGCGGACATTGGGAGTGTATACAAGGAGCAACGTCCTTTATTAATTAATGAATCTGGCAGACTTACATTACAGAACCAATGCTGTTACTCGTAAGAAAATAGTTTTCTTTATAGGCCGAACATACAAGAGGACGACTTTATGTCTTACAAGAACTTTAAGTCTTTAAGATCCATTTTTCCCCGACTTCTATTTAAATTTAAAGTAAACTATAATTTTGCATATTGTTTTTTATGTGAAACATGGTCTTACTCACTGCCTCCTTCGTCAGGGCGAGGAGTAGATTAGCTTTGCCGTAATGGTTTGCTAGGTGAGTTTTTAGATCCTCACGGCGAGGTGTACGAAAATGGCTGTCTTCCGGGATGTTGCCCAGTAAGTATATCTTGAAACGTCTGTCGGTATCTACGAGACTACGTGGCGCAACATCTCAGAAGATAGCAGTCTTTAACTCATCACCGTGAGAACTTGAAAATCTCAATCGGCCGGAGATGAAACAATAAGGAGAGGGGAAGTTTGTAACAGTTTGTTAGAAGGCACAGTCCATGCAGGCTGCGCGCTTTGAATGCCTGGAGAAAACCATGGAAACTCTCAGACTGTACTTGTGTTTTCTCGTCCGAGACAATGAAATTCTTTTTCGCTGGGCGTGACTGCCCTGCAGTATGTGAACTGGTGCTATGTTAAGCGTATGATTTCTTCTTATGCAATCTGTATAGATAAGAATCATTCACATTCAGTTTCTTGATGAGTTGTTGACAAAGATGTTTTGTTTTCAGGGCGAAATCCAAAAACGGCGGACGTCTTCTTAGAGAGAAATTGGAGAAAATTGGTCTGAATCTTCCTGCGGGCCGCAGAAAGGCAGCCAACGTCACTCTACTCACGTCGCTCGTCGAAGGTTAGTGCCCATTTCCAAAGAGGAACCACTTACGATCTTGTGTCTGCTTATGTTAGACCACCGGAGAGACGTTTTTCCCTGGTCGAGATCCTTTATTTATCCGTTCACACCCTCATATTTTCAGTTGCGTGGATTAAAATACTTATTCCGATTTCGAAACTGATCATCGTGCCTTCTTCGAAGTTTTCACCTGTTTTTTTCGCCCTTTATTCATGCTAATTTTCTTTATTGTGTTCTGGAATCGGGCGTTGGTGATGGATTTTCCGCCCAATTATGTTTCACGAAGCTACTAAATTGCAGTTACCATAACGATAGTGTAGCACATGGAGTCTGTAATTTATTTTCCTCCTTGAATATATTTAATACTTAGTCGTTTCCTGTTCATTTTTTTGTATTAATAAATTACGAGTTAGATTTACAGCAGGCGGAAAAGTAGAGTAGGTCTCTAGCAAATGGACATTGAAGATCAATCAGAATAGGGCGATGTAACACAAATACATTTGATTTGTTGCGGTGGTTTTTTTTTCTTTCGCACATTCAACGAAGCACTTTCGGCCGATGCATGTGGTTTGATATTTTTGGTTTTTATAAGTCGTGTTCGTCAGAGTTATGACGCCATGGCGTCGTAAAGTGTTTACGAGAAACTTGTTGCCTTTATCCTGAATTTATGGATGAACTGTGTGCTTAAAAATCTCTTTAGTAAATTACGCGAAGAAGTTTGCTTCAGACTTGTTGACCATTGACACAATATTTGTTTGTGTAGATTCTGAAAATGCTAAGAAAAGGACGTTTATTAAATGTAAGTCGTTAAAGGTCACTAAAGCTGAATAATGTTGCTCACACTACGAGCTGGACATCTGTGGCTTGTCTTCCGGCAGGAACGTCAAATTTTTCTCTTCACCAGTTTTAGTACAGGTCGGCCCCCATCCTGCCTAAACTGGTTTCATCCGTCGAACGTAAATCTGTCCACTGACTTCCTTCTAGTGCTGAGGTTAAGCAAGCGTCCGATATGTAAGTTCACGCCCCGTATTTCCTTGTGCTCGGGCGTTATTAGGCTGCGAGCCGTTGGGCGGGATAGCAGAGACTCAGTGAGGATGCCTCGCTGTCATGTGGTCACCAGTTATGAAGAAAGGCAGGCGACATCTTCACGCTCAGTACCGACTACTCTGACAGCAGTTCCTTCAGGGCATTAGATTTGGGCAGGCAAGAACCGCTGCGTCTCACATCCTTTGCTATTCATAATTTATAATCTCGAAGATTTCAGTCTTCTGGGTTGTTGCGCTGTGTAGTCTGGTCGATGTTAACCAACGTTATACTGCCTCCATCATCAGGACGATGAGTATGAAGATTTCTGTCTTCTGGGTTGTTGCGCTGTGTAGTCTGGTCGATGTTAACCAACGTTATACTGCCTCCATCATCAGGACGATGAGTATGAAGATTTCTGTCTTCTGGGTTGTTGCGCTGTGTAGTCTGGTCGATGTTAACCAACGTTATACTGCCTCCATCATCAGGACGATGAGTATGAAGATTTCTGTCTTCTGGGTTGTTGCGCTGTGTAGTCTGGTCGATGTTAACCAACGTTATACTGCCTCCATCATCAGGACGATGAGTATGAAGATTTCTGTCTTCTGGGTTGTTGCGCTGTGTAGTCTGGTCGATGTTAACCAACGTTATACTGCCTCCATCATCAGGACGATGAGTATGAAGATTTCTGTCTTCTGGGTTGTTGCGCTGTGTAGTCTGGTCGATGTTAACCAACGTTATACTGCCTCCATCATCAGGACGATGAGTATGAAGATTTCTGTCTTCTGGGTTGTTGCGCTGTGTAGTCTGGTCGATGTTAACCAACGTTATACTGCCTCCATCATCAGGACGATGAGTATGAAGATTTCTGTCTTCTGGGTTGTTGCGCTGTGTAGTCTGGTCGATGTTAACCAACGTTATACTGCCTCCATCATCAGGACGATGAGTATGAAGATTTCTGTCTTCTGGGTTGTTGCGCTGTGTAGTCTGGTCGATGTTAACCAACGTTATACTGCCTCCATCATCAGGACGATGAGTATGAAGATTTCTGTCTTCTGGGTTGTTGCGCTGTGTAGTCTGGTCGATGTTAACCAACGTTATACTGCCTCCATCATCAGGACGATGAGTATGAAGATTTCTGTCTTCTGGGTTGTTGCGCTGTGTAGTCTGGTCGATGTTAACCAACGTTATACTGCCTCCATCATCAGGACGATGAGTATGAAGATTTCTGTCTTCTGGGTTGTTGCGCTGTGTAGTCTGGTCGATGTTAACCAACGTTATACTGCCTCCATCATCAGGACGATGAGTATGAAGATTTCTGTCTTCTGGGTTGTTGCGCTGTGTAGTCTGGTCGATGTTAACCAACGTTATACTGCCTCCATCATCAGGACGATGAGTATGAAGATTTCTGTCTTCTGGGTTGTTGCGCTGTGTAGTCTGGTCGATGTTTACCAACGTTTCAGAGGTCATGCTGCCTCCGTCACCAGGATTGAAACGTCGTATTTAACGTGACAACCTTTATATTCCTAGCATGGTCGTGAAATTGAATATACTACCTGCTACATGCCGGCCGGCAGTATGAAAGGATCTTCCACCAGTCTGGTTCCGAGTTTAGGAATGAATGGAGTTATACCTCCACTACCGGATGTCTGCATAACGTGATGCTTAGTTAAATTACCAGGAGCAGCTTTGCCGTTACCAAGATAATTGTCATAATCACAGGTCGCCGTGTTTGCGTTATCCCTGCTTCTTTTTTGGCTGCATACCCACATTCCAGCACTGAACGCCATTTTCGTAGAGGTTTCTTAAAACCTTAGATTCCGCTAAGCAGCGGGACTCCTTGGATGGAAGGACAAAGATCTCTTCCACCGCACATAAACTCAGACACACATTCATGCCCCAAACCGAATTGGAATCTGCGGCGCCTGTGTTTGGGGTATCTTCGACGTCGTATGTCTCAGACGTAGCTGTTGCCAGAATCAACGTAATTATTCTTCCCTACTATTAATATCGTTACTGTAATCTGAAAGGCGAATGTCCGTGAGAACTGATGGCCTGCTAATAGAATTTGCATTTCCCGGAGGCCTGCATCAAGTTCTTACTTATCAACTTTCAAAACCCGTTGTGAGTGTTTTATGTGTGCCTTTGTAAAAAGAGGAATGGTATCCGGTAAAGATTTGTATTTCCTCCCGTTCTAATGTACAGGTAACTAATCGAATAGTTGGAATCATAAATCAAGGAATTCGCGAGATGAAGTGATGTAACGGGTTAGACTGAACTGTCAGTGGAATGGGAACAATATCTATCTCTCTCTCTCTCCCCCTCTCCCTCTCCCTATGTCCTTTCTTTTTTCGAGTATCTGCATACGCTAGAAGTATCAGGTAACTATAATTATAGTTCTCAGAAGAGGCAATAAATGGCTCGTAGACTCATAAAACAGTTTTCGTCTCAAATAGAAGGTTTTAACACGACGACGCTCACATCATCACAACCGCAGCGGCCCTGTTATCGTATCCGACTTTGTTTAATATCCTCAACTATACCAGGTGAAGAGTAGAAATCTGATTCTTCTCCTCGTGCAACTCCGTTCTTCTGTTACTCCATCCTTATACGCTTAATATATTCGCTTTAGCACTTTAGAGATGACGATTATTATCGCGACGGTGATATGATGATAATGATATAGAAGCCGCTGCTATGCCAAGTGTGACTTTATTTATGTGTGATTTGAGGTTTTCACGGCGATGAGTATGAAGATTTCTGTCTTCTGGGTTGTTGCGCTGTGTAGTCTGGTCGATGTTAACCAACGTTTCAGAGATCACACACCTACCAGACTACACGGCGCAACAACCCAGAAGACAGAAATCTTCGTGACTTTTTTTATTTTACATTACTTTATGGATACTTGCTTTACGATGGCAACAGTGCGTTTTTAACCCACTGTTTAAAAGTTTACTAACTCTGATATTTTTGTAGGAAGTGATTATTTGTTTCGGTTGCTTAAAGAAATTATCGCGTAGGCCTATAACGACTTTTAAATCTCCATTACAAGAACGCACGTAACAATTTATTTGCCCATCCATCATTCAACACCAAGCACCAGAATACAATGTCGCTGCCCAGCTGTCGTATACTTGAATCAAGTCACTCCGTCGGTTTAAGTTTCTGTGCGTTATACGATTTACTAACCCATGAAAATTGTTTTAATGAATACTTGCAACCCCCCCCCCCCCCCCCCAATAGGTTGGCTAAATATTATGTCAGTAAAAGTTCCTTTGTAGGCATTACAAAATTCCATTTTCGGACCGCACCTTCAAATAGCTCTGCTATTGAATTCAGCTTCTTAATCTAGAGGTTGAGTCGAGACAAAATGATGCGTGTGCTACAAAAGGTTTGTTTGCTTAGACGAGACCACCAGTGACTTGAGGTGGGAATGTCATTAATTAATGATATGCCATTCGAGAAAGTGGTATGTCTGCATTTTTAGTTTTCTCTTGCATGAAACAGTACTGGCTGGCCTGTTGAAACAGTGGTTCTCGTTCTGACTAATTACCCAAGATAATGCCTTATCGAGGTCTTAGAGATACGGATCATAAAACGATTTCATGTTCTACAGCAGGGCCTATACCCAGTTACGTATATTGACTGCAGTTGGCCGCTGACAAGTTATGTATTATTTTGATTAAGATAGTAATCAAAGTAATGAATTTTCACATTTAAATGTTATGTAACGATAATTTCGATGGCTGAACTGCGATGTATGTTGTCTGCAGGCAGAAGCCTTGCGATGGAGAGACAAGTCTCCTCTCTGTGTAAATGAAATATAAGATGCCAATATTTGAATATGGTTGTTGCACAAAGGAGAGTAAACGCATGACTTCATATGAGCTTCTGTTTCGTTATTTTTAGCAAATTATTATTTGTTATTGTTATTAATACCATTAAGAGACCACAGAAGTAAGCCTTTAAAATGTATG